AAATATGGTTCTAATTTAATATTCAAGTCAGTATGAAATAAAAATGGGAAATATCTCTCACACTATTTTTTCTTATATTAAGTTAAAGTTTAACTCCGTTCACGGACCTGCCCTAGGGCAGTAACACCATATTTCTTATTATTATTATGAGTGCTCTTCCAATTGTATATATACACATTATGGTGGTCTTTAATATGTATATTTTTGAATTTCTTTGCACCCAAGGGCTCAAATGCTTCCAAAATGTTGAAAAAAAATTCTCTGAAAGTTTTAGCTCATAATATTAATTCTAACGTAGTCCGCACTACAACCAAAATTTCTTATGGCAATAACATGGGTAAAATTCCATTTGTTTTCTAACTTAGCGACAAGTGAATCAAATTTTTAAGATTAAGAATAACATTGTATTTGCTCATTTTAATCATAAATAAAATTTATACAAAAAAACTGATACATTTTATAAAAAAAGTATTTGAACCAAGAAACTTTGGTTGAAGTGCGGACCATCTTAGAATTAATATTAAAAGCTAAAACTTTCAGAGAATATTCTTTTATTAATTTGGAAGCATTTGAGCCCTTGGGAGCAAGTAAATTCGAATATATCCATATTGAAGACCACCCTAATATACATATATCTTACACGCTCTATTGTCTTGTCGTGTACATCGCTTTTTTTGCTCTAAATATATAGATCTTTCTCAATCTCTAATTATATTAGCAAGTTTATTATAACTATGATATACGGTTCTTTTAAATTGATCAATGCGTCGTCTCTAATTTAGCATCTTTGCACTTGGCGTTTGATTTTATTCACATAAATGTTCACAGAAAAAGAGTAAGTAATGTATTTTTTTTCGCTAGCTCTAGTACTATTAAGATGTTTTATTCCATTTTTTTTTTTTATTTTTAGGAAGTGATACACTATATGCACTTCGCCCAGGGCGCCTACGGCTGGCCAATGTTCCTTATGACCAACTCCGTCACCGGCCTTTGTCAACTGTGCTCGGCCATGAGGTAAATAATAGGTTGTCAAATATCTCCCTTCCGCCTTTTTGTATTATAAACCAAGAGCAAAAAAGCGGAAGGCAGATATTTGACAACCTAATATATAAAGTAGTCGAAAGTGGCATTTAGCCTTAAGACAAGTTGCGTGAATTTTCCTAAATGTGTACTAATTGACTTCATTTGTCAGTAGAGTTCATTTTCTTTTAACACCATACTAACAATTTACATTTTGCTCGTCAGTAGAGTCCTTTTCTGTATTCGGAAAAGCGTCATTTCCTGTATTGTCATGGCAACGCTCTCTTATGCTTTGTCTTGGTACTGAAAATTGTGAAAATGTCTATCTACTTGCCGCCGATCAGGCGCATTTTACATATTAGGTTGTCAAATATCTCCCTTCCGCTTTTTTGCTCTTGGTTTATAATACAAAAAGGCGGAAGGGAGATATTTGACAACCTTATATAAGCAATAAAGGAAGAATCTTTGAAGATTATGTTATCATAACATATTCTTTCTTGCTTTGTTTATATGTAAAATACGCAGTGGCGGATCCAGGGGGTGGGTCACGGGGGTCATGACCCCCCCTGAGATCGTCTTAAAACTTAGAATACTAATTCAGCAATAAAATTACTTCATAATAATTATATTTATATATTTTGCTACTAAACACATTTTATAACTTCAATATGTAACTTATTATAGACAAACGACGGAGTCAAAGACTCTTAAAATTTAAGGATAATTTAATTATGTGAACCCCCCTTGGCGCCAAAGCTGGATCCGCCACTGAAAATACGCCTGATCGCACGGTAAATAGATGGACATCTTCACAATTAAACGCTAGTCTTATCAAGATACATCGAATGGCTTTTAAATTTAAGAAATCGCTCCAGCCGTTTTTAAGAAAACGTCGATTTACGATAAAAAATCTATCCACATACATACGCACATACTTTAGTTCCAATTGTTGGTCTTGAAACGTTGAGGAGAAAAACATAAAATTAGTGAGTCGGATTTTTTGGTGAAAATATGAATTTCTCTTTCGGGATTACTTAACTAATGGTTAATTGATTGATTAGTTGGTTAATTGAATTTTTTCTAGGTGTTCGTGTATGCCCTGCGCCTCCAGAGACTCGAAAAGCAACGCCAATATTATTAAAGACAATTGCTGCGAATGCAATTATGCAGCTCTCAAGAGGATGTTGACCCACGGAGAGGTGAGAAACGTAACATTTACGAAACACTGACGAAACAAATGTTACTCAGTTTATTCCAGTCAATGACAAATTTTTGAATTCGTCGCGATTTTTCTGAAAATACACTAATTTCCCAGCAAACAGCAGACTAGACCAAAGTCGGTCGATTAATAAAAAGTGCATGTAGTTTTTATAGAAATCTTGAGATTTATCATTCCTAAACCAACTAAAAATGTTTGTTTAATAAAAAAAAATAATAATAAACTGTTATAAAAAATCCTTAACTGATATGTCTTTTGAATAATTTTTTTTAGAAATGTTGTAAAATATTATATTATTTCTCAAAGTGAAATGGAAGATGGACGATTAGAGTTTAATTATTAAACAATGATAATAGAACTATAAATTTGTATTATGAATATATATTATGGTGTGAATAATACATTATTATTTTTCAGATTGAAGTGGTTTATGCGACGTATCATGTCGATGTAGGTGAGACTCCGTTTTTCATAGCAGTCGATTACACAAAGAGAAAAATCGTTATTAGTATTCGAGGAACACTCAGCATGAAGGTAATTTATAAATAAATATATATAAATATATATATATATATATATATATATATATATATGTATATATATACAATAATTTATATATATATATATATGGCAGGATATTATTACGGATCTGAATGCTGAAGGTGAACCTTTGCCTTTGAATCCTCCAAAAGAAGATTGGCTTGGTCACAAAGGTAAAAATTCCATTTATTTGCTATTATTAAATTAAAATTGCTAAGTTATTAAAATAGTAATTAATCAAATCTACATAATGCGAAAAATCCGATTTGTCAGTAGAATCCCCTTTTTAATGCCTATGACTTTTTAATATAACATTTTACCAATTTATTATTTATTCTGAAGGTTTATATTGGGTTTACTTGTCAGTAGAGTCTTTATTTTATTTTAAATATCTAAGATTCAGTTTGCTTTTAAGTCATTTCAACGTTCACGTATATTTAACTTCCTTGTCAGTAGAGTCCCTTTTTCCATTTCAAAGTACAGCAAATAGCTTGTCAGTAGACTTCTAAAGCCCTTCCAAAGATTTTTTTTCTTTTCTAAGATCCAGATTTAGTTAGCTTGTCAGTAGAGTTTCACTCTTCATTTCAATGATTTAACTCTATTTTGCTCGTCAGTAGAGTCCCTTTTTAAATTTTTCAATTTGTTCATGGGCAGAGTTCCTTTTTTATTTTTTTTGTTTGTTCAACAGTAGAGTCCCTTTTTGATAGTTTTGATTTTGATTATTAGTGAAGTCTTTTTTATATTATTTTAATTTGCTCGTTAGTAGAGTACTTTTGATCTTTTATTAATGGCAGTCTGCTTGTCAGTAGATTCCTTTTTTAATTTCCATCTAGTTATTTTTCTTTGCTCATCAACAGAGTTCTCTTATGTCGAAAATATATAAAGACGTTGTTCGTCAGTAGAGTTCTTTTCTAAATTTTATATCTAGATATTTTATACTGCTCGTCAGTTGATCTCTTTCTAGTTTTCTATCTAGATATTGTATTTTGCTCTTCAGTAAAGTCCTTTTATTTCAATTTGCTCCTCAGTAGTCTTTTTCTCGCGTTATACTTTCAGATTTTATTTTTCTCGTCAGTAGATTCCTTTTCTGATTTTCTATATAAGTATCTTATTTTGCTCGTCAGTAGTCTTTTTTTACATAATACATAAGTCGCTTGTCAGTAGTCGTTTTCTAATTTTCTATCTAGATATTTAATTTGCTCGTCAGTAGAGTCCCCTCTTTCATTTTTTCGACATTTTTGATTGATATTCGGACTCGTCAGTAAAGTCCATTTTGTAATTTTCAATTTCTAACATATGTCTAATTATATTTCGGCAAATAAAAAAATACTGAAGAAATAAAAAATAAAAATTCGATCAGAATATGCGTCCAGTCGTCAATAAAGAAGTTTTACTTAAAAAAATAAATAAACAAAGTTAAAGGAAAGCATTCTAATTTTTTCCCAGGAATTGATCTAGATCAAAGAGCTTTAGGAAAAATAATTGAATATTAAATTTTAGGTATGGTGCAAGCAGCTCAGTACATATTAAACGAGTTGGAACAGGATCAACTTTTGGAAAAGGCTTTCGAATTGAATCCGGCTCGGGGGACCAGAGATTTTGGTAAATCAACATTTTACATATAACTACATCAACAATTTTAATATTATACTCTATCGAGTAAATGAAATTAATTATTATCATACTGTGTCAATCACATTTTCAATATTGTAATCTCTCGAGTGAAGAAAATAAATATAAACCACACTTTGATAATCCCTTATTTAATTTGATTTTATTGATTACGGCTTGCTTATGAATAAATAAATAAATAAATAAATAAATTTAGTGAAAAAAATTAATAAACATTATATTTTGATGATAACACTTACAATAATGTACTCCATTGAGTGATCACTATATAAGATTTTCTGTTTTTTAGGTCTGGTTATAGTAGGTCATAGTCTGGGAGCTGGCACGGCTGCAATTCTAGCAATTCTGATGCAAGAAAAGTACGAGCACCTGATTTGCTACAGTTATAGTCCTCCCGGAGGATTACTGAGGTAAGAATAGAACAATTGTACAACGATACAATAGAAATTATGAGATATCTATATTTGTCATCAATTAGAGCTTTACGATGTATGAATAAAAGCTTTTTATAGCAAATGGATAATGAATACGAGAGATAAACTAACATTGAACTAAGTTTTAGCATAATAAATTTTTATTTATGGAGAATGTTAGAGAAATATATTATAAATATATATGTGGATCCGATGAGTCAAATATTTTATATTTGACCTGCAACTTTGTAATAATAAATATTTCTTTAATATAAAATAGTTATTCATTCATAAAATGAGTTTTAAAATGTTTTTTTAATTTTTTAGTATGCCAGCTGTGGAACACAGTAAGAAGTTTGTAACATCTGTCGTTGTTGGCAAAGATGTCGTTCCTCGAATAGGTAAGTTTTGTCAAAGAACCAGAAAATAAAGAACAATATTGATTGTACGACATGTAGTAATTAGTTTTCATCTGGTCATTACCTATTATTATTACTCGATTAGTTATTTAAAAAGTCTTCTAATTTGTTATTCTATTTTGTTCGATTTAAAAAGTATTTTAATTTTTACTATATAGTGCTAGAACGATTTGTATTTTATTTTATAAAATCTTTGTTGAGAACTGAACCATTCGAGAAATTAAACAAGTTTTAGAGTAGCCAAAACAGTTTCTGGTTCACAAACGAGAAAAGGGACTCTACTGACGAGCAAACTGAAAAAAGGGACTCTACTGACAGAGCAAAAATAAACAAGGGACTTTACTGACGAGCAAAGTGAAATAAAAATAATGAGATTTTTATGTTTCTCATTTAATTTGCTTTGCTCGTCAGTAGAGTCCATTTTCCCAAAATTATATCCTAATCTTTCATTCCTGCTCTTTCTTTTGTCACTTTTTTTAAATTGATTTGTCTGTAGAGTTCTTTTTATTACTTTTTTCTTTAATTTGCTCATAAGTAGAGTTTTTTTTTTAATTCAGTTTGCTCGTCAGTAGAGTTCTTTTCTGATTGAAATATGAATTGTAGTTTGCTTGTCATAAAATATTAAAAGACAAATTTAATTTTGCTCGTCAGTAGAGTCCCTGTTTCAATTTAAATCTAAATTCAGTTTGCTCGTCAGTAGAGTCGTTTTTTAGGTTAAATATGAATTTAGTTGGCTCGTCAATAGAGTCCTTTTTGTAAAGCGAATATAAATTTGGTTTGCTCGTCAGTAGAGTTCCTTATTTTATTAGTTTTTGTGCGAGTGTATAAATATATAGATATGTTCATAAAGAGACATTACTGACGACCAAACTGAAATAAAAGTAAAAAAGGACTCTACTGAGGAGTAAATTAAAATAAAAATAAAAAAGGGACTCTACTGACGAGCAAATTAAAATGAAATTGAAAAATAGGCTCTTCTGATGAGCAAACCCAAATAAAATTAATTGAATCTTTATGTTTCCCTTTTTATTTGATTCCCTTAAAAGTAGATCCCTTTTTACTTTTATTACGATTTGCTCGTCAGTAGACTCCTTTTTTTAATTTTATTTCGGTTTAGTCATCAGTAAAGTTTCCGTTTTTCAAAATAATATTTTAATTTTTTTATTCCTAGTAAATTTACTCTTTCTTTGATCACTTTTTATCATTTTTTGTAATTTTCTCGTCAGTAGAGTTCCTTTTTTTAAATTCGGAGAGAAAAAATGTAACTCTACTGACGGGCAAGAAGCTGCAATCTTATTATTTTTATTTACTGGTCAGTAGAGTCCCTTCTCCGCTTTTATTTATGAAACAACAATTTTGTTCTGTATAATTTTTTTATAAAGAAATAATATAATAAATCTAACCGGAGGAGTTCTAGTAAATTGAAATATTTGATTCAAATTCAGGGAACAAAAATGACCTAACCTTCATTGACAACTGTCAGATTCCATCACCAAAATCAACTATTTTTTTTCCTCATAATTAATTAATAATAATAAATAATTGATTTTAAATATAAATATACTCACAAGAACGTGTTTCTTACATATATTGAGTTATGGTTCTCTTTTAAATAAATAAATAAAACTTGTCTTCTTGTGCACAACGCGAGCAAAATACTTTCACAATACACAATTGTAAAATACTTTTCATAACTATATAAACATACACATTTTATTCATGTTTTACGTATTTATCACTAATAAATAATATTAAATCATTATCGATTTGGAAAAACATTATTATTACATTTTAAAATACATTTTTTTCAAACTATTTCTTAACTGTCAAACACCGAACAACCGCCATATTTCTTTCATAAACTCGCGTGAAGTTGGTGTTCGGTGTGAAGTTAACCACTAACGCATATGTCAAAAAATCATTAAATAAATTTGAATTCAAAACAATCTAATTCACTTATGAATTATGATTAAACATATAATTGAGTCGCTCAGTGCACACATCGATTAACTCCATAAAGCAAAAAGTTGAGAAACGCGATGATTTAATGTATATTGTTATTTAAAATGATAATATGAATTCAAATATAAATGTAGAAGCGTTGATGCACGGCCAGAACAGACACAGTGTTACTGAAACGATTTACATTATACAGAGTATGGAGTTAATCGAAATGGCTTCTGAAATAAATTACTTATTATTCAATGGCCAAAAAAAATGCCATTTAACGGTGCTAATCTTTATTATTCCGGAAAGTTATTATAAATAGTAAAAGTTATGATTATACCAAGTTCTTTCCCACTAATATCTCAGTTTTTTCAAAAAGTGGAGTTAGTCGATGTGTGCACTGAGCGGCTCATTTATCGATTTGAAAAACATTTTAAAACGCATTTTTCTACCAACGATTTCTTAACTGTCAAACACCGAACAACCGCCATATTTCATAAACTCGCGTGAAGTTGGTGTTCGGTGTGAAGTTAACCACTAACGCTTATGTCAAAAAAGCGTTAAATAAATTTAAATTTAAAAAATCTAATTTATTTATGAATTATGATTAAACATATAATTATCGATTTGAAAAACATTTTAAAATACATTTTTCTGCCAACGAATTCTGCCAGCCAATTCAAAATCTGAACAGCCGCCATATTTCTTTTTTCGAAGTTGGTGTTCGGTGTGAAGTTAACCACAACGCTTATGTCAAATTCGATAAATAAATTTAAATTCAAACAATCTAATTCATTTATAAATTATGATTAAACATACTTAACTATTAACCTATTTCTTTTCTATTAGGTCTGCACCAAATGGAGGCCCTAAGAGCCGACCTTATAAACGCTATTAAAAGATCCGTCGATCCGAAATGGAAAACGATAGCGTGTGCCACGATGTGCTGCTGCTGCACCTCGTGCGCCCCTCAGCCGACGAGCGTCAGCAGGATGAGGTCGGACGATAATACGATCGATGATTATAAATTAGTAAGTAGATATATATTAATAATATTTATTAGAATATTGAGAATTAAGAGGCCCAAATTTTGTAAAAAAATAGAAATGTTATGGTAGTTGCAAGCAAACTTCGGTGCGCATAAAACCTAACCTCCAAAAGGAACAAATGTGGAATAACAATTTTATCATAGTGCTTATTTTATTTATTTAACTTATTTTTTCTATCACTTTGTTAACGCATGGGTCAATTATCAGGGGATAAAATAGAAATGTTATATTACGGTTACTGACGAGCAAAGTACATATCTAGATTATTTTCAAAATCTCTTTAATAGTGTAGATAAAAAATGAAAAAAAGGAACTATACTGACGAGTAAATTACATATTTGAGTTATTTTGTTCTCGAAAATAATATTTTACTAATTTATTTATCAATCTAGAGAAAAAATTAAAAGGAACTCTACTGAAAGTAAAAATGTATAAAGGAAAGGAAAAAAGGACTCTACTGACAAGCAAAAAAATGAAAAAGGAACTCTCTTTAATAATGTAGATAAAAAATTAAAAAGGGACTCTACTGACGAGTAGAGTAAAAATCTAGAAAGGAAAGGAAAAAAGGACTCACTGACGACCAAAACAAAACTATAAAAGGAACTCTACTGACGAGCAAATTTAAATATATTGAATAATTTGTTGTCGAAAATAATATTTTAAAATCTAGATAAAAACTGAAAAAGGGACTCTACTGACGAGCAAATTAATCTATAAAATCTAAAAATTTACAAAGGCAATAAAAAAGGACTCTACCGACGAGCAAAAAAATGATAACGGAACTCTACTGACGAGCAAAGTATATATCTAGGTTATTTTCTTGTCAAAAATAATATTTTACAATTTGTTCCAAATTTGTTCGTCAGTAGATTTCTTTTTAATAAGAAAAACAATTCAAACAAACAAGAAAATTTGTGAGGTAAAGCCTGAGAAGCTTGTTAAACACATCTTTTCTAGTCGAGAGTGAATTTATTTCGAAAAAAATAGAAATATCATATTACGGGTCTATATATAGATTATATATATAGATAGATTATAATCATATGAGTTCGTAGTCACAAACTGTCCGAAAGCTATGTCTTTGCTGTTTGACACACAAAACCTAACCTCCAAAAGGTAAAAACGTCAGAATATTACTTTAGTTAGACTTCACAAATATGTATTATCAAAGTGACATCAGATAGTTGCACTATTAAATAGATAAAATTGTTATTTGTTATTTGTGCGTTTTGTAGGTTAGATTTTATGTGTCAAACAGCAAAAATTTAGCTTTTGGACAGTTTGTGTCTATGAACTCATACGATTATAGGCCCGCAATATGATATTTCTATTTTATCCAAGATAAATTCACTCTCAATTTGAAAAGATGTGTTTAACGAGCTTCTTAGACTTTACTTCAAGAATTTTCTTATAAAAAAAGAACTCTACTGACGAACAAATTTGGAAAAAATTGTAAAATATTATTTTAGAGAACAAAATAACCTAGATATCAAATATGCTCGTCAGTAGAGTTCCTTTTTTAGTTTTTTGCTCGTCAGTAGAGTCCTTTTTTCATTGCCTTTGTAAATTTTTAAATTTTATAGATTACTTTGCTCGTCAGTAGAGTCCTTTTTTCAGTTTTTATCTATCTTTAAAATATTATTTTCGACAACAAATTATTCAATATATTTGAATTTGCTTGTCAGTAGAGTTCCTTTTTTATTTTTTTTGCTTGTCAGTAGAGTCCTTTTTTCCTTTCCTTTATACATTTTTACTTTCAGTAGAGTTCCTTTTAATTTTTTTTCTAGATTGATAAATAAATTAGTAAAATATTATTTTCGAGAACAAAATAACTCAAATATGTAATTTGCTCGTCAGTAGAGTTCCTTCATTTTTTTCGCTCGCCAGTAGAGTCCTTTTTTATCTAGATTTTGTTCGTCACCAAAGTCCACTTTTATAATTATCTATATAGATCATTTTTCAATTTGCTCGTCAGTAGAGTTCACTTTTATGAATTTTTATTTAGATGTTTAATTTGCTCGTCAGTAGAGTCATTTTCCTCTGTCTTATTTTCAAATATTTAATTTGCTCAAAGTTTCTTTTTAATTCCTTAGTCTGTACTGGCAATTAATTTAGAAAAAAAAATATATAAAAAAAGGATTCTACTGACAAACAACGTATGGGAAAAATTTTAAAAAGAACTCTACTGTCGAACAAATTCTGTGAGAAAATATTCAAATGTTATAAATTTAACAAAAAAAAACTCTACTGTCGAGCAAACTGAAATAAAAGAAAAAAAGGAACTCTACTGACGAGCAAATTCAAGATAAATTTAAAATATTACTTCAGACAATAAAAGGACTCTACTGACAAACAAATTAAAAAAAGCTTTTTGATATTAGATTAGATAACAAAAAAACCTTACTGACAAGCAAATTACATATAGATAGAAAATTAGAACAAGACTCTACCGACGAGCAACCTAAATATGTAGATAGATAATTAGATAAGGACTCTACTGACGAGAGAATTATTATCTAGACAAATTAAATATCTACATAAAACTGAAAAAAGGGCTCTACTGACAAACAAATTAAATATCTAGATAGAATATGAGAACAGGAGTCGCTAATGGGGGCGTGCAAAGAGCAGTATAAGAAGGAATTCTACTGACTAGTAAATAAGATGATAAAAAGAGGAGTTGCCTTGTGAAAAATACAAATAGTACTGTATTATAATTTTTAATATATAAAATAAAATTCTTTGCATTCTTATTTTAGGAAACTGTTATTTATGCACTAATTAATTTTATAATTTAATTAATGTTTCTTTGTTTTTAGGAAAAAGTATCTGCCAGGTGTAACTCGGCACATCCAAATGACTCTTCCATAGCTTTAACTCTACATAGGCCATTGTAAGTATTCATATAAATAAATAAATATATATATATATATATATATATATACATACTTATAATAATTTATTTATATTCTAGATATCCTCCTGGAAAAATAATCCACATCGTTAGAAACCATTCAGGAGTCATCGAGTAAGTATTCGAACCAAAATTCTTATCCCACTTCTGCTTTAATAAATATTTTTAACTCTCATCCCACTTCTTCAATAATGAATATTTTATTATTATATATCTCCTAACCCTATACATATAATTTGCTTGTCAGTAGAGTCCTTTTTTAGATGACCAGATCGATTATTGTTTATTTATTTGTTCATCAGTAGAGTCATTTTTTGATATCCTAGATCAAAATCAAGTTTGCTCGTTAGTAGAGTCAGTAGAACTCTTTTTAAAATTAAATTTGCTTGTCAGTAGAGTCCCTTTTCATTCATACAGACTATAATTAAGCTTGCTTGTCAGTAGAGTTCACATATTTATACTTCTAAATCGACATTTCAATTTTATCATCAGTAGAGTTTTTTTTCTAGTATTTAGATTAACATTAATACGTTTGCTCGTCAGTAGAGTCCTTTTTTGTCTCTTGAAGATGAATATATAATTTGGTAAATCAGTGGTGTCCCATTTAAATCTTTTAGCATCTAGATCAAAATCGAGTTTGCTCGTCAGTAGAGTTCTTTTTCAAAATTATATTTGTTCGCCAGTAGAGTCTTCTCCTCGCATCTTTTACATTAAAATCAAGTTTGGTCGTCAGTAGAGTTTTTTACTTTACAATCTGCTATTTTTCTAAACAATTTGCTTGTCAGTAGAGTCCTTTTCTTGTTTTCCATCCAAATACTAAATTTGCTCATCAGTAGAGTCCTTTTATTATCTTCCATCCAAATACCAAATTTGCTCGTCAGTAGAGTCCTTTTCTTGTTTTCCATCCAAATACCAAATTTGCTCATCAGTAGAGCCCTTTTATTATCTTCCATCCAAATACCAAATTTGCTCATCAGTAGAGTCCTTTTCTTGTTTTCCATCCAAATATCAAATTTGCTTGTCAGTAGAGTCCTTTTGTCATCTTTTACCTAAATGTCAAATTTGCTTGTCAGTAGAGTCCTTTTCTCATTTTTCACTTACATTTTGAAACTTAATTTGCTCGCCAGTACACTACTGACGAGCAAATTAATAGAAAAAATATATAAGGGACTCTACTGACGAGCAAATTTAATAAAATTTATGCTCTACTGATAAAAAAATAATACAAAAGAACTCTACTGACGAGCAAATCTAGAAAAATGTCATAAAAGAACTCTACTGAAGAACAAGTTTGAAAAAAAAGTTGAACTCTATTGACAAAAAAAATCAGAAAAAGTGTAAAAAGAACTCTACTGACTAACGGATTTAAAAAAAAAATTAAAAGGACTCTACTGACGGGCAAATTAGACAAAAACTTAAAACTACTGAAGAGCAAATTTGAGAAAATGTCATAAAAGGACTCTACTGACGAGCAAATATGAAACAGATGATAACAAATAATAATAAAATTAAATTAATTGAGAAAATATTAAAAAGGGACTCTACTGACGCGCAAATCTAAAACAAGTGAGAAAAAGAACTCTACTTACTAACAAATTAATTTAAATAAATAAAGTAAAAGGAACTCTACTGACGAACAAATTCCGAAAAGAGTACAAAATGTTATGTTAGAAAAATTGAATTTTGTGCCAAACTTTTGGTAATATAATAAAAAGAGACTCTACTGACGACTCTACTTATACTATCATGTCCAAAAATCTTTAAAAAAAACTTAAAAAATATCAATAGACGACCCCTTTAATGAACCTTTACAATTCTTATCCCACTTCTGCTTTAATAAATGTCTTTCTATTCTCATCCCACTTCTGTTTCATCAAATAACTTTTAAATCTGTTTCTTTAGTACCACAAGAAGTGCTTCCAGTTCGTCTCGAGAAAAGACATTCCGTGCAGTCTGGTGTGACAATGCAGACTTCGATGAGGTCCTGATATCACCCGTAATGGTGCAGGACCATATGCCCGATCAGGTCCTGCTGGCACTCAACAAGGTGATTTTGTAGTAGTCGAAAGAAATTTGAAAGACTGAGATACATTCTTGAGATAAAAGACAGAAATTAAATAAGCCCCAAGAAATTAAATAAGCCTTCGATAAGGGTAGTCGAATGAATACTTGCATTCGATGTACTTTTAAAAGACAACATTTAATTTTATACGAAGACTTGAGTAATTAATATGAACTTGTAATTAATATGAAGTCTTAATACAAAGTGGAACACCTTCTCGATACAAAAATGTTTTGGTTTCCATTAATTGAAAGGTTACTCAAGTTATATTGCAAATTTCTTGTTATCAATATATATTTTACTAAGCCGATTATTTTATACCGGTGGACTTTTTATTATATCTCAGGAATGTAATTTAAAGTACATTTAGTCGTATGGCTGTAAAATAGTTGTCTAATTTAGTTGAGCTTATTTGTGTCATAGATATTTGAGGTTATGTTTCAAGTCAATATTAGTTTTTATGCTAAATTTAGCGCTTATGTAATATATTTTGCTTGTAATGTGCCAAAAATGTCTAGTTATGCTTAATTTAGCTAATATATGTATATATAGTGTAAAATATGCATAAGTATAACTAATTGATAATTTACAAAAGACTTACCTAAATTTTTTCTGAACTGTCAAATTTTGTCCAACGATTACACAATTTAGTAATAGCACAAAACTAAGCACTACACAAGATTAAAACTTATTTAAAACACTTATTTAAGGTATCTAAACGTTGTTTTAAAACTAGTAAAAATGAATAAATGCAAATAAAATCGTTTTTAACCTTTGCAACGCAACTGTCAAACAAACGAAAGCAGCCATTTTGTGTCCTTTAAAGCATCCTGCGTCCTGATTGGTGGAAACACAGGGTTGCCTAATGGCGCGCATTACGACAAGTTT